ACTCCACAATCCTATATCATACACTGGCTTCATGAATCCACACCCACCAGTAGGGTCACCATTCTGGTTCCAGTGGCCTTTGACCACTGCTGTTAGCCAAGTACAAAGTGTCCTGACTGCTGTCAGTTCTCAGTACAATTTGAGCTCCTCTCTCTGGGAAAGTGGAGGGCCTTCATTTAAACTGAGCAAAGGGGCAGGCTCCCTGGAGCCAGTCAGATCACTCATACCCTCAGCTCTCTCCAGGGGGCAGACAGGCCTTCATTGGTCATCTCAAAAAGCAAAAGAACTCGGAGGTGCTAACCTTAACATTGCCAATAGCAATATTTCCAAATGGGAACTGGGAACTAATTTTTAGAGCCAAGAATAACGCTTCACTCCTTGATGTCAGTTATGAAATCTCTCCATAGCAAAGCCCTGTGTGCACAACCCTGAATGCATCTTTCAGTGGCTCTCAGGAGGTCAGCTCCCTCCACCCTGGTCTCCCAGATTCCATAATCCTCCCAAAGGAAAAGGGCAGCCCACTTTACCTGGTTGAGCAAGTATTTAACTTGTAATACATAAAGAAAGGCCGCCTAGAAGAGAACAAGAGAACAGGGTTAGTTTCACAGTCCAGCCATGCATCAGAGAGCTGGGTCACAGCAGGCTTGTCTCCACTGCTCCTGACTGCCCTCGGCTCCACAAAGCCTCTCACTAAGCCTGGAGCAGTCTATGGTCCAGGGGTTTTACACTCCTTCTGTATGAATGAGCATGATCTAAGAAGCCCCTTTTCTGGTTAGAATGTAGCTTATAGGTTTAGTAGTCCTTGGCTAGTAAGGCTGTTTGGGGAGGTTATGGAATCTTATGGACATGGGAGACATAGGGCGTGGGGCTACAGTTCTAACTTAACCCTGTTCTAGGCCTGCCCTCTCTGCTTCCTGGTGGGCCACGGGGCCTCAGGTTCCTGGGGTCACTGACAAGAGTCAATCCCACGGCCATGAACACTGCTGTCCCTTCCCTACCATCATCAGACTGAGCTCATATGAAGCCTTCTTGCCCTAGGTTGTTTCTGTCACGTATTTTGACCCAGCAACAAGAAAGAAGCACAGAGTCCTAGGACTCACAGCAAGGACCTTATATCCCAGTGTAGCCCAGGCTATCATCTTCATAAATATTTTATTTATCATTTAATTTTTGTGTATGAATGTGTTGCCTGAATGTATGTAAGTGTGCCCACATTGTACAATGCTTGTGGAGGTCAGAAGAAGGTGTCAGATCCCCTGACACTGAGTTATGGACAGATGTTATCTGCCATGTGGGTCCTGGGAACCTGGGTCCTCTGCAAAAGCTGCTAGTGCTCTTAACCACTAAGCCATCTCTCCAGCCCCCAGGCTATCACCATATGGTCCAATGATGAAAGAATATGACATTTAAATGACTTTATAGGATAGGATAGGGCTGAAGGT